TTGACCCGTTTACCAGTTTACCTACATGGGACAGCGGAGGCTGCGACGGCTACTACACTCTCCAGGTTACATTACAATCAATAGGACATTCTTAAGCGGTGGTTTCACCATTAACGAGTCTGAGATTTAGGCGCACAAGAACGAACTCTTTTTGATAGATGGAACGGGTGAGATGTAGGTTCTTAGTACATACCTGCACATCTGTTGTACGAATGTAGCCTCCGCACGACGTATAACTATTTAAATTCTTGTAAGTCTGGCGCCGATTGTTGTTTCTTTCACCACGATGGGATTATAGTATACGCCATCGATACGACAAGAATACACACTTAGGTATTTATGTCAGGAGATTCTTTCCTTAATATTAGGACGGTACCTACAGTTAGTAAATTTGCTACATATTTAAGCTCGCCGTCTGAATACCTTCCTCACATAGTTCCCTATGTATAGTTCTAGTGCATACATACCTATTTTATTGACAAAATAGGAAGTCGAAATTGAAGCACACCCCGGACACTCCATACAACAGTCGAAAATTATTTACCTACTACTACTACATACAGCAATGCGCTATCTGCACACGCGCAAATGTGTGCGTGCAGTGGCAGGGTTACCCATCACTTTCTCGTACATAATTCTAACGCGAATCTGTTATCTATAATTGTATAATAGAATCCTAATAATTAAACATGTTCATTACGTAGGTATTTATATCGATACAATATTATATTTTTCATTAATTCACTAACTAGAATAATATTGAAGATTTATTTAAAAAATATATTAAAAGCACTTAAAATGTTATATTTTGGACGGGTACCTTTAAATAAAGTAACCTACGTATTTGAAATTGCGCGTCCAAGTATATCATTACCTAGTTAATAATTAGGTATATTCACTACGTAACATTTATCGGCAATACAATTGAAAATTCGAGAACCCTTGTCTAGTTCACGAAGTTATAGCGTCTTATTGTATTGATATAATAAATCAGTATTATATATTACTCTGCACTAGAGAAAACAATAATTGAATGAGTCTCAGGGTCGTATTCTAGAACTTTACTCAATGCTTAAGTCAGGACTTGAGTATGATTCATAGCACTAGAAATCATACTCAAGTCCCTGCCATTAGGGTCGTATTTCCAGTACTTGTGTTGCCAGTGCAATCCTGACTTGAGCATTGAATACGAAATCTAGAATACGACACTTAGAGTCGTATTCCAGAACTCTACTCAATACTCAAGTCAGGACTTGAGAATTGCAGTGAGCACTGAAAATCATACTCAAGTCCTTGTCATTAGGGTCGTATTTCCAGTGCTTGTATTTCCAGTGCAATCCTGACTTGAGCATTGAGAAGAGTTCTAGAATACGACCCTGAGAGTCGTATTCTAGAACTCTACTCAATGCTCAAGTCAGGATTGCAATTGAAACATAAGCACTGGAAATACGACTCTAATGGCAGGGACTTGAGTATGATTTCGAGTGCTTTAAACCATACTCAAATCCTGACTTGAGCATTGAGTAGAGTTCTAGAATACAACCCTTAGACATAAGTTTTTTTACTTACTTCGTTTCATCTATCAAAAAACGAAAGAAACTCCTTTCTTTATCCCGTTTAGATGATAATAAACAGCCCAATTCACGACCTTTATAAAAAGTAACGTAAAATGATGTTAAATATTAACGTACGACTTTCTTAATGAATAAATGAAAACTATATTCAAATATCAAAGCCGACTTAGCGCGAAAACGACTCGCCGACAGCCTTGTTGTCGTTCAGTCAATGTGACCGTCGATGTACGGGGCGTGGTGTAGTATCTAAGGCTAGGGAGGGGCGGAGAGTGTCCGTTCTCATTACTTATTTGTTCTCTGGTTGAAGTCAAATAGTTAAGAATAGAGTAAGTATTTGGGTAGAAGTGCATTGTTAGTTATGTTACGTATTCGAGTGCAGGATGATGCGTTCGAAATTGAACAACATATTTGCGGTGCGTTCCAAAGTTTTGGATTAGTTTTTATTTCGATCCTTTACTACAAGTGTTAAATAAAATGACACCATTTTTTAATATTTAGATTACAATGAATTACCTTTTAGTTATTCACATAATGACCTTGCGTTATTTCTTCGATTAGCTACTTCATTGTTCCTTTAGCAGTTAGTGACAACACACGAATTATTTTGGAATTCATTAACGCTAACAATAGAAATGATTTAAGAAGATACGCGTTTAAGTAACACGATAATTTTCTTGAAATATAAGTTGAATACAAGAAAGAGAAATTTAATCTAAATACACTTGTTTTTGTATTCAGTCACATAGTCGACGACTCAAGTGCCGATTTTGTTCTTGGATTTTATATTACCTACCTAGATTTTTTTATTACCCACTGGACAAAGTTTTTTTTTTAAATAAATTTATTTTATTTCTAAATATTCGCATTGTATTCCTGTACCAACATTGCACGGAATAGTGCGTAACCTACTTGTCATTTTCTCTCAACGGAAATATTCTAGCATTGATAAAATTCTTCAAATCCAATTAGTTTATAGAGAAACAAATACTACGTAAGGCGCACTTTAAGTTTCTGAAATGAATAAGAAAAAAAATACTATAAATGGTCAGAAATGAATTTATTGTTTCTCAAAATATTCTCCGTTAGCATTGATGCACTTTTTCATACGCATGAACCAATTTTGAAAACATTTATGCCTCTCCTCTATGACAACCTCTGAAACATTTTTCATACTCTTCGCCAGGATCTTCAGGTGATGAAAATCGTTGACCGCGTAGCTGGTTCTTAATTTTTGGAAATAAATAAAAGTCACAAAGTGTCAGGTCGGGACTGAACGCGGGATGGCTCATAAGGTCAACGTTGTTCACTTTCAATAATTCATTTGTCTGTCTGGCCGTGTGAGAACTGGCATTTTCGTGGTTGATGACACGGCGTTTACGGTTTTTTTACGGAGTTTGTCTATAACTTCCGGCAGACAAATGGTCGTGTACCAATCACTATTCACGGTACAACGATTCTCCAAAGAAACGGTAGCCGCGTGTCCAGTTTTATTAAAAAAAGAACCAATCATCCGCTTAGAGGCACTTTGCACGCGCGCCACTTTGGTTGGTTTCGGCCATCGAGTACATAACCAGAAATAGAGACGAAATGTCATTTAATTTGTTTGAAAACTATTCAGCCATGTCATTACTGTGACAACTGCGCTCCGATTGGCCAGCCCGAGTTCGAAACAATTGACGGGTATCGTCAACTGTTTCACTTCAAATCGGCCAGTTAATTTGAGCTTTGCTATATTGGACGAAAATTGCAACATTACATATTAATATTTAATTACCGATGATATGTGATTCCGTTTGTTTTGTAATTAGATGTTTTGCTGTTCCCAAACCACCGAATAGAACGCACGGCATTTTTAGAGATATTATCTTTATTACAATAAATACAGAATATTTTTTGGAATATACGGAGACGTACACACAGGTCAGTCGTTGGCCTGTCTATATTTCAGTGCAAACGGAGAGTTGATATTTATAAGAGCTGTATCGCTAATGTGTTACCAGGAATATATGGCTCTTATTTCGTTTCTGTTTCTGGTTATATACTCGATGGTTTCGGCTCACATCGAAATACCCATACGCTCGATTGTTGCTTTGTTTTGGGATCGTAACTATAAATCCATGTTTCGTTACCTGTTGCGATGTCCGACACCAAATTTGACGCCCCTTCGTTGAATCTGGTAAGCATGGCATTGCACCAAGTGACGCGATCCATTTTTTGAGCCTCAGTCAAAATGTGTAGGATCCACCGAGAGCACAGCTTTTTCACACCCAAATGATTGTACTTGATTCATGCCTAGGCCTAAAGATGCCCGAATCTTATGGTATGTCACATGCCTGTCTGTTATGATCATACGGCGCACAGCATCGATGTTTTTGTTGTTCACAACGTGGACGGGAGAACATCACGAAATTCGTCACTGAGATTCATTCACACGACCGCGTTTGAATTCTGCAAACCAGCTATAAATAGTCGTCTTGCATGGTGCTTCGTCGCCAAAAGCAGTTTGAAGCCGAGCGAAGCTCCGCTGAGCTGTTAAATTACACTTAAAGTCGTAGAAAATCATACTTTGAAAATTTTCACGAGTTAAATCCATGGTGATGTAGACAACCAATTTTTAAAATGACACCACAATGTAAAACCAAGTAACAGTCAGATGAAACAAACTATATTCTACAGCCAAGGAGTTCTATTTTCAAATGTTGTAATTACTTTTTATATACTGTTTATGTAAGTAGCCAGTACCGGAAACTTATAGTGTTGAGCCCTATGTATAATAATTTTATTTTAACGAATTGATGACCAGAATACTTTAACATTTAAAATGAATCTAAGTCGCATATATCTATTTGCTTTTCAAACTAATTAGACTTTCGGGCCCTGTCCCATGATCACAGCTGGCTGACTGAGATGGTGAAGTCATCAACCAGTTATGTCTAATAATGCAAACCACTCAATATTTCAATATTGTTACAAAAGTTATTAATTATATTCCTTATTTTAAATTTTTTAAGAAACATTCCAATTAACGCTACACGTGTTTAACAAAATTATTATTTGTGAAAAAATAATTAAGCGCGATTTAAATCCGAAAAAAATAGTTTCATTTGGTATTAAAAAAAAATGATTTCATCAGTGTAGGTAACAATCGCGAAAACCTTCTAAAAATACTTTAAACTAAGATTAATAAATTTTTAAAAATTAGTAGAGAATAAATGAAATAAAATACATAGAATACTACTTATACGAGTATAACTTATTAGTATTGGTGTATACTGAAAACTATAAAAAAGAAATTATTTAGTTGAGTTATCCACACAACGCTCTAAAATTTACTCGAAGTTCGAACGCACGTGAGTGGGAGAGCGAGTGCCATCTGACGTTTCACCCTCCCGCGCGTCGCACCCGTCTACCCGACTCGCTTGTTCGCCGCGTCAGCCAAGGCAGCCACTCGCCGCGCTGCATCGCGTTGGTAGCACGTGAGTAGGGAAGTTTTGTTGTTCGCCGTTCCCCAGCCGTAAACCGCATATTTAGAACTGTAATTTATCCCGTGTTCATTCACAAATAACACACAAACCTGTGAATAAAAACTATTTGTGCCCATTACCAGTGAACTGAAGGAACTGTGTGTTACAAAACAGTGTCTATAAACGTAATCTCTTCTAAGCATCTCTGCGAGCCGGCCCTCTCGTCGCGTGAGTATTCTAAAGTTATTTTAACTGTACTTTCCATGGTCTGCCATGGCATGGCTTCGAGGCTGTCAAGTACGTGTTCGCGGAAAAAAACTAGTAGGTATTAGTCGGCGAATCGAATTATTGAATGATGTCGACATAGATAGGTCTTACGAGAAAACAGTCGATCTAGGTCGCATCTTGCAATTTATTGGCTCTCCCTTGGTGCCTGGGTCATTCGAGATGTAATGTGGAAGTCCGCTTCAGATTAGCAAATTGATTTGGAACCGGTCGGCAAAGGTAATTTGCATTTTAGTGGTTCGAGACGCCAGTTTTTTCACTAATTGTGGTCGATTTGGTCCGCATTTCTTGAGTTTGCGGATAAAATTTGCGGCGGTGTTTATAACTTATCTTTTGAGAGTTCTACATGACGTGGTAAAACTGTATTTCTTAAGTAAGCACCTGCGATAGCCAGGAGTTGAGTGGCACAAACACGTCATCAGGTACTTCTGTTTGAATATTCAATGTATTGTTCAATAAGGGCTGATAACTATTATCATTTATTATCATTCTATCTGAAGTTATGAATATTTTGTAGAATTCAAACCTGTACAGGAGGATCAATGGTCACTTTACAATTTAATGTGCACTTTTGATAGTCTCTAACCAAAATTCATCTGAAAAAAATTTAAAGTGCCAATTCATTGTGACATAGGACCTTAATTAAAGATTTTTTAATGAAATTTTCTGATGATTTCTCAACAATTAAAGCTCTCAGATTGTTATGTATACTTACTTTTACATTTAGTTGTCAAATACCGACAAGATTTTGTAGTACTCATTAAGAAAAGAGCAATATAAACCTGTGTCTGCTTCTGAATTGTAACCTTTATATCTGCAATCCTACGTGTGCTATTGCAGATTTCAATTAAACTGATAATTTTGTACTCAAAAGATACAAATACAAGCAATTTCATCTTTATTTAGTTACTTAAAATAAAATCCTGACTTCGACTACCAAGTATTTGTTACCCTATCTTCCAGGGCTGTTTCATACAAAATATAGAATTCTATAGGAGAACACAATGTAAAGTGCGAAATTTGTATAGGAAAAATTCAGGGGGTGTACTCCCGTTTCGAAGAATTACTGTCAAAGAAGTAATATTCGACCAAATCCAATGTCAAGTATTAATTATATTACTTATTTGATAATAATTGTTTCGGGCAGATGTCGGATAAAGAACGGAAGTAGACTCCCTGTTTCAAATTCTTAAAGACGACGGTACGTGCACTCAGGACATAATAAGACGTTTTTTATTTTTTACTGACAAAAGTATATTAAGTAAACTGGGTTTCGCGTTACCGTACGTATTGAATGAGCTAACTGCATCAATTGCGAAATTCGCAGAGCGCAAAAAGTGTCGGGTCAATTCTAAATTTGCCTTGACACACCGCCGCCGTTAAAACAATCCTCATTTGGTATCGGGTACCGTTGCGACATAACAATGTTAATTTGTTCTACCATTTAAGGCATTAGTAATGAAAGTGCCAGCAGCATCGTTGGAATATGCTAGGAATTTTTAATAATATTTAAAGCCACAAGCGTAAGAAATGCCCTAAGAGAAAAAGTCATAGCCATTACCTTATTCTTTGCCAAAGAATAGATACGTACCGAAGATTGTTTTTAATGGGATTCGGTGAGCAACACTTATGACTAATGAGTTAATTAAGTATCGTTAACATATCGCATGTACAAACCATTACCGTCACTAAACGACGAGGCATCTTTTAAAAGGAATTTTAATGTTTCTGAAAATATTTGATCAACCCATTTATACGTCACACGTTAAGCCATGGTCCGCCACGCTGGCCCCATGCGGGTCGAGGATTTCACACGGTTTCCGAGGGTTGTGAACCTTTTTCGACGAGCACGTTTCATCAATATATTTTCGTTTGCCGAAAAGGTCATAGATAATTTCAAATTTAATTTCGTACAGATGAAGGGCACTGGGACCCCACGGGCCAAGGGTTTCGACCCCAAAGGCTGTGAATAGGTAGTCGGAGTTGAAATCCTGGTACTTATTACTTTTTATTTTTTTCCGCCAGCTTATCGTCATGTGACATGTCTGACGCCCAGTTGTCGGTCCATACTACAAGGGATGAGAGTCATTCTGTACAAAATTTTATCCTAAAAATTGATAGACTGTCTGGGAAACCCAAGGGCCGGCAGCTACCGTGCCCAACGCATTTGCATAGCCACACATAGGGGAGCAGCATCTTGGGCACCTTGCCGCGGGGACCCAATTTTATTCATATAATTTAAAAATTGCTTACTTTTATTTAAGCTTTTATGGTACCTTACCTGTATATTATTAAATTAATAATTGAATTTCGCACATAAATTCCGAAACTCTTACAGGCACGAGCCCAGATTCGAACCCACGGCAGGTCAAGCCATTTGACTGAACGGCATCTGAAAATAAGTTTAAATTTAAAAAAAGCGATATTTACATTTAGTGATCACATTGGTTTCAACGGGTAACTTACTTAGTTTTATAATTAACTATCTTATGCTACGTATCAATGGCTTCTAGTACTCAAAATCATTGAAAGATTTATTTAGAACAATAACAAACTGGGCCATACATACGCAATACGACTTTAGTAGGTAAGAAAATCAAGGTGTTTGTGGTCATTTGTATAGCCATTATGATAATAATTGTCACGTAGATCAGTAACTTAGAGATAAAGGGAACGCGGATTTAGTTAATACATGCATAACATGACTATTGTATCATTATCTCTTAAACAATCATGTCACGAAATGTCTAACGACGTTTTATATTTTTGTGTACTGTTATAGAGACACATGTGGTAGACGTAATAAATAATAATAGCTAATAAGTTTTAGTCAATAACTTGACTAAAACTTTTTATAAAATGTATGTAGTCAGCGGAGTCTACACAAATGCCGCCAAGTAGTAATGTTAGCATTACCGCGTTCCGGCTTTGAATGGTAAGGGTGGTGAAATGACAGGCACTTGGGACTTGGCAACTTGTGTCTCAGAGTGAAGGACGCAGTGACAGTGCCCCTCAGATCTTTGGGATCTAAAGCTCTGCGTGGCACTGCAACTGTCATTTACAGGCTTACCATCAGGCGCACGAATTGTTCGTCCCGTCACTAGAAAAAAAAGTGCACCACGAAAAAGGAATATTTTATATTAAAACCGATTAGGAAATACACAATTATGGTAGCATTTTAAGAACTTCTGAATGTGCACGTACCGTAACCGAATTTACTAAATGTAACTTGTGTACTAACCTTGTACAAAAGTTTCATTTAGTAAACGTGCAAGTCAAGTTTTACATTTAATATTTAAATTGAACTTTATCATTTACAAATATATTTCAAACATCTTAGATGGAGATTACCCGCAAGAACTGTAATATTCACTTGAGTATACTTGAGTAGACTTGGTTCTCCTTGCAAACTTTCATCCCGGTTAACTTTTGTGCCAAAAAGTAGCCTACGTCCTTCTCATAGTTGCCATCTATCTTTATACCAAAATTCGTCAAAAAATGTTTATTACATCGCAACATAAAAGTATAATTTTGTAAATTCACTACTGATAGCGCCAGCTAAAAATAAATAGCTATAGCTATAGCTGCTATTTATAGCTAATAAATAGCAGCTAAATATAAAAATCATAGAAACATTTCACACGATCGAGTTGTGAAATTTAAACAGAGTACCACGTATGGAGTAACCGTATTGTATTCGTAGGTACCTCCTTGTTGGATTTACAATACTCTCTTGGCTTCCCATAAAACTTGATTGGTTCATGCTTTCTCCTCGCAAATGTCGCATTTTGCATACAATTAAATACTAATTTCTTTTTGTCGTCGTTCTTTTATACAGAGCCGCCATTCTTCATTTTTGTTTCCAATGTAGTCCCTCCTTAGTGTTTCAAATTGGGATTTTAATTACTGGAGTTCGAAGTAATTTCGTCTTCCTACACTACAAGTATTCTAGTGGCTGTATACAGTTTGCGTGGAGAAATTAACAGGAAGATGGATGCATTTCTCTTGTGATAAAACTTGTCCTGCATTCACCCTGTACTTACCGAAAGAAACCATTGTCTGTGGGTGTGGTGACTGCCATTTTTCCATCATCAACCAGTGTCGACGGATACCACTTGATCGGTATCGTTGTATGTATTTCCTCGAAATAATTGTTGATTGGTGTGCGCTTAATTGCGGGATTGATTTATCGATTGTAACGTTGATTTCTTCATTTTGCGCTTTTATTTATAATGTCTTATGTATGTATAAATACACGAACAAAAATTTTTGGTAATGTCTTTATTATTTTGCCGCTCTAATCTCGAATCTTGCCTTGCAGCCAATTTTGCATACAATAAATTCATAGCTTTCACCCGACAACATATCATTTGTCATAGCATTTAAAATCACTTTCTTTAGTGCTATCATAGGTGCTATCGAAACAACAGCTACCTTCGAATGATGGAATTAAAGGAACTTATCTGATGAGGTTTTTAACACAGTCGTTTTGTCTTTGTCTTTTTTATTAAATTCTACTTAGATTATAATAATGTGTTAGTAATGCTTTCGATCGAAGTCTCATTAAACTGTAGATGTACTTAGAGAACGCATTTTAATTATTTTTGACAAGCTACCAGTGCCGGGACCACACGATACTCGCATTTGGGGTTAAAGCATAATAGGTAAATATTACAGTACAAATTGGTGAAGCAAATTTAGTATGCTAGCGGCAAACTGAGATTCGTTGTCTCTGCCTACCGTAGTTAAAAAAACATGTTATTGTAAGAAATATTAAGATTGGCGGTGGAGCAGCGTGTCAACGTGACGCCCACCCCGATTATCTCACCCGACATAAAATATCGACTTGAACCAATTCTTTTCTCAGAATATTGTCTTATTCGGAACTCTTAGTCACAACTTCCTTGTACATCGTTAAGTTGCCGTTAACGAAGTGCGGTCCC